AAAGAAAGAAATGTGCTCTAATATAAATAAAAACTTCATTTATAAATAATGCCATTTTATACCATTAAAACAGATAGTATTATACATTGTTGAGTTACCCAAGTTGTCCATTCCGCCTAATTTTCAATTGCTAGTCAAAGGTGCTCAAATAACAAAATGATAATAATACCTCTTTTTTTTACCTAAGAACTTATAAATTTAGCAATTAAGAACTGGGGAGAGCTTCCTTAGTTTACTGAAGGTATGGCATTATTTCTCAAAGGTAGCATATGAAATAATTTTGAGTGGCTAGGTCTCAAAATTTTGAGGTAGTCAAAGATTATCTCTAGCACAAATCAACCTTTCATATTGGTTCTAAGCTTGGTTATATAGCCTCATATCATGAGTCACTGCAAGAAGTTGTCTGTTGTGGTTGACATGTAGGTGGTTTCTAGTTTCCCATTCATCCAATGAACATTCAAGTGCCAAGTGACAGATACTATTTTAGGTATATGAAGCACTGTTCTATGTCCCAGCACAGGATGATGAATTGCTATTTCTTCATGACAACTCTCTACTCCTTGAGACAGTAAATGGATAGACGATGTCTATGCTTAATCTCTGAAAAGTTGAAGACCACCCCTGGGCTATGAGAGAACTTTGTCAATATAACAGATATACTGATGGTCTAACTAACCTTCAGAAAATCAACTTGAGAACTGGTGCTCCTGGTGGTGATGATGGCATAGCATAGCAATTAATGGTTTAGGCTCTGGAGTTAGACTGTCTAAATTGGAATGTTGGATCTATCTCTTATTTCCTGGGTGGGTAAGCCTAAGTAAGTTACTTAACTTATTCTGTGTTTCAGTTTCTTCATCTATATATACAATGTGGATAATAGTACCTACTTCATAAGACCATTGTGAATATAAGATCATGACACCAAAGAGATTAACAAAGTTCCTATCACATAATAAATACTCAAACATTAGCCATTGCTATTGTTATTACTCCTGGACACTTACTTTTTATTTTGCAGATTTCTAATTACTCTATTCAGAGTAAACCATACAAACTGGGATTAGAACTCTTGTGAGAAAACTAAACCCAACTCATATTACCCTGCCAACAATGTGAGACAGTCTATATATTCAGTTTTGAAAAACTTACAAATGTAATAAACCAAAAAAACCCAAACTCATTGCTGTAAAGTCAGCCCTGACTCACAGCAAACCCTCCTTGGGTTTCCGAGGCAGTATCTCTATGGAAGTAGATCGCCCAACCTTCCTTCCAAGGAGTGGCTGGTAGGTTTGCACTGCCAGCCTTCCGGTTAGCAGTCAAATGCCTTAGGCACTACAACACCAGAGCTCCTTATAAATGTGATAGGAATGTCGTATTTTAGATACTCTTATTAAGTATAAAAAAGAGAAATGTTAACATGTTGTTGTTGGTGTTATGTGCCATCGAGTTGGACCTGACTCATAGTGACCCCTCCTTGGGTTTCCGAGGCGATATCACTATGGAAGTAGATTGCCCAACCATCCTTCCAGGGAGTGGCTAGTGGGTTTGAACCATTAACTTATTAGTCATGGTTATTCATTCTTACAGAAAGCACTCAGTTCATATAGTATATGAAAGGAAGTACTTCATTTTATGTAATAGGAATGTCATGTTTTAGATATTCTTACTACATTTATAATGAGCTCTGGTGGCATAGTGCTGAGGCTTTTGACTACTAACCAGAAGGCTGGCGGTCCAAACCCACCAGCCACTCCTCTGAAGGAAGGTTTGGGCAATCTACTTCTGCAGTGATAATGCCTTGGAAACCAAAGGAGGGGTCGCAATGAGTTCAGACTGACTCGACAGCAGTGAGTTTGGTTTTTTTTGTAGTGTAGTGCCTAAAGCACCTGACTGCTAACCAGAAGGCCGGTGGTTCAAACCTCCTCGGAAGGTTTGGGGCAATCTACTTCGGAAGGAAGATGGGGCAATCTACTTCCATAGTGATAACGCCTTGGAAACCCAAGGAGGGTTCGTTATGAGTCGGGTCAGACTCAAGGCCACATAACAACAAGATTTTTAGGAATGTCATATTTTAGAAGAAAAGGGGAAAACAATTTTGGATCAAGCTTTGTTGTTGTCCATATTCAATGAGAAAAAAAGTTATTTTCAGGTTAGTCTGAACCCAAATAATAGTTTTTAATGTGTTTTTTTTTTTTAACAACAGTACATCACATAGGAAAATATTTTGAAAACCTAAAATCTGGACAAGCACAAAAAGTTTTTTTAGATCTAAACGAAAGTTTACAAAGATCACTTGGAAAAGGAATCAAGTTTAAAAATCCAGTTTTGCCCTAACTCTTTTTTGAAGGGAAAAAGAGAAAAGTACTATCAGACTTTTTAATTGTATGTTTTAAAACAGTCTAAAACACTATTTTCTTATTCCTCCTTTGGCAGTTTCCTAAGCCAACCTTAATACTATGAAATATGCTGGATTTGTAGTTAAAGTTACTAAACTTAACTTTACTATTGCCCTTATTTAAAAAGACAGCTTTAACAAATGCTTTTCTGTATCTAGAACTGAATGTGTCCTAGAGAACAAATTCTTTTTAATTTCAGAGTTTTTATCTCCTTTGTCATACATTATGTTCTTTTCTACCTGTGTCAGACTGAAAAAAAAATGTTAAATATACAAAAGAGAAATGTTCACATATTAGTTATTCATTCTTACAGAAAGCACTCAGTTCATGTAGTATATGAAAAGGAAGGACTTCATTTTATAACTTGCAATAAAATAATTCAGACTACAATTGTTAACGAATAAAACCATCAGATGGAAAGACTGATGGGAAACTTTCATGTGGAAGGGATAACTGCCTTTTGACAAGATGAAAAATGATGCAAATAGTACCACCTATTAAGCAATCTTGCCAGAAAATACAATCTAAATCTATGCAAGTCTCCTGCGATAAAGAGAGACATAAGAGACGTAACAGCCAAATGTAATGTGTGGACTTTGCTGAGATATCAACTAAATTGAAATCTTTAAAACTATAATAAAGGATATTTTTGAGATAATGGAGAATAATTCCAAGGAATTATTATTGTGTAAGATATAAAAAAATCATTAGGAGAAGACAAGTGATTTTTGAGTGATGTATACTGAAAGATGTGGCAAATGCTGTAAAATGCTTTAGCAAAGGAAAAACAATATATAAATATAGATAAGACAGATGAAGTGAATGTAGCAAAATCTGGATAACTGTTGACAAAGGTGCTCACTGTATAATTCAATTTTGGTGTATGTTTGGAAATGTTAAAACAAATGGCATAATTGAGGAGTGTTACAGCAAACTTCACTATTACCCTAGGGAAGTCACTAATATACATGAGAGACTTCAGCTTGAGTTTTATTAATTATAGAAGTGAACTACAGGCAGTATCTTGGTCATGAATATCTGACTTACTGATGACAACTCTCACCTGCCCTTTAATGTTACATAAACCAGCCATCATTTTGCAATGACTGAACCAATCTTACTCTAACAAATACTTCATCACAATCACCTTCACCTGTTGCACATGCTCCAAGCCTTTTCTTGAACTACAGTGAGGCCAAATAAGAATAGTATTCGCCTGTTCTGACTTACCTACAAATCATTAAAGACACAGTTAGGAACTGATCTAGTTTGTACTGCAGAGACTGCCTGTATGTAAAATATTCTAGAATTACACACTTAAACCAATTAATTCCATTAGGATTAGAAATCAAGTTTTTAAAAAAGATTTCTTTAAATAAAAACCATTTTCCCTACTAGAAAACACTTTCACCTTTTTACCTTCAATTTCTAATCTAGTATGAATTAATACATACTTATAGATTTTAGAAATAGAAAATTTATATTACTTCACCATACCTTTCTGTTAGTATAATTGGCTTTTCCAGTGGCTCTGCAGGAAGTTTATGATTCTCAAGTAGTCTTTTAAACAGTAAGGCTTCTTCCATTCTATATGGGTTTAATAACATCACCTCTTTTTCAGATGCAATTAGCCAGGCATCAGGAAACTTAAGATTGTGGATCAAACAAAGTTCATCCTTCTCTTCTAAGTCAAATTTCTTATGCTTCTGAAAATTTATTTTTAAGTTTTGCATAGAAAAGGGGATCTGTACTATTTTAGTATTTTGATTCGTGTTTTTCCCAATTTGAGATTGAAAGAGTTCATCAAGTTTTGGCTGATTAGAGGTTAATGAAGCTTTCAACTTGTGCTTCTGAGCCAAACTCCATGCGCTGGTGGGTTTGGCCTTTTTTCCACCATCTTTTAATGATACATGTGACTCCTGCTCAGTGGCTCTCTTTATTTGCCTATTGTACCGCTCCAAGTCTTTAGCAGCCTTCTCTTCATATCTAAGGAAAAAGATAAAATGGAACTAATGAGATCATAAATAGAAATATTAACCATCTGAATTAAAAAAAAAAAAAGCTTGCATTCCAATTCTAATAATTATGGAGTAGTTTTTATTGGACTAACCATTCTGCATATAAGCATGATAAACTCTGAACAAACTATAAAACTCAACTATTTAAAATAGCATTGGGAGCACCCAAAAGTAGGCAAAAATTGGAAGGAATTCAACCCCTAAAAAAAAAAAAAAAAAAAGATCCACATTTATACAGTTTCTACTCAAAAGGCACTCCTCAGCACGAAGCAGGCTGGCCAGAACTGAAGGAGAAAGCTACACTCTAATTAGCCGGAGTCATCAGAACACAAAGCTTCTTGAAGTCGTAACTGGTAATTAAGGTGAAAATCCCATATGTGGTAGCCCAGAGGAAAACAAAACCGAGAAGGCTGAAAGAGTGGAACAGAGATTTTAGCTACTACCTACTTACTGCAGGGAGACAGCAGGAGTTTGAATTCTACAGTTAGATGGCTTAGTAAACACCCTGGGCTTTCCATTAAAACTGGAGGAAGGCCACATCTTAGGGGTAAAAACTATGTCCTAGAACTAAGAAAAATGCCATAGGGCTAAGGACAAAGCTGAAACAGTCTCTCCCTAACAAAATATAAACAAAACTTCCACAAGTTCAAGGTGATCCATAAGTGATTCAAATACCTGGTAAAACAAAAATCAACTCTTTTCAGAAGATAACAGAATCCAGAGCCCCCACAACATATCAACTATAATGTCCATTATACAATCAAACTTTAAACCAAGCAATAAAGCAGGAAAATGTGATTACGGTAGAGAGAAAAAGTGGGCAACAGAAATCAAAGTCATGATGACCTAGATACTGTAATTAGCAAAGAAAAAGCATTTAAAAACAGCTTTTATAAACACTTAAGTACTTAAAGGAAAAGATGATTATATGAGAGAATATAAGAGGGAATCTCCACAGAGAAATGGAAATTAATGGAAATGTCAAGTCTGTAACTAAAAAATACAGTCTCTGAAAATTGAACTGGATAGGCTTAGGAGCAGATCAGAGATGACAAAAGAAAGGGTCAGCAGAAATTACCCAATCTGAAGAATACAGAGAAAAGAGACTGACATTTAATCAACTTGGAGAAATACAACAACTAACAGAAAGAAGCTCAGTAAATCGTAAGCAGGATAAATGCAAAGAAATACAAACATTGGTATTTTACAATCAAACTGCTGAAAACCAAAGACAGAGAAATCCAGAAATTAGAGAAAAATTCATTACAAAAATGGAGCAACACCACAAATGACATATAAGTTCCCATCAAAGGAACGGAGAGCCAGACGGCACTGAGTAAGTATCATAGGAACCCAGAATTCTAAATCCAGAAAATAGCCTTCAGAGATGAAGACAAAATGGACATACTCTGATAAAAGAAAGCTGATAATGTGTTGTCCATATACTTCACTACAAGAATTGATTTAAGAGAAATGACACCAAATAGAAACTCAGATCTATAAGAAGGAATGATAAACACTGGAAATGGGAATATGCGGGTTGAAGGAAATAAAAGAATGATCTTTTACCAAATTCTCTTAAAATTTTTCTTTGTAAAACAACTGTTTAAAGAAAAAGAGCTACCATTTTAAGGTGGTGTTTATACTGTATGTAGATATAAAAGATATGATAACAGTAGTACAAATAGCAAGGTGGTAAATGTATTTATACTTGCAAGGTTTTTAAATTTTAGATGAAACACTATACTTTTAACTCTAAGTAGATTATGATAAATTAAGGATGCATAATGTAATCCCTCAAAGCAATCAGTATAATGCACAATAAAAAAGGAGAGCCAATAGATTATAATCCAATGCTAAAATATATTTTCTTAACCCCTCAAAAAAGGCAACAGTAACAAAAACAGAGGAGCAAAACACACATGGGACAAATAAAACACAACACTAAAATGGTAGACCTAAACCCAGCCATATAAATTATTCCATTAAATGCACTAAACATTCCCACCAAGAGGCAGAGACTGTCAGACTGAATTTACAAAAATCAACACTCAATTATAGGAATCTACAAGAGATACTTTAAATATGAGATACAGATAATTTGAAAGTAGAAGAATGGAAAGAGCCATACCATGCAAAAGGTTAAGTATAAGAACACCAGAGCTGCTACAGTAACCTAAGAAGTAAATTTCAAGAAAACAAGTTTTACCAAAGATAGAGGGGCATTTCATAATGATAAAAGTCACCATTAGAAAGATCTAACATTCACAAATGTACACGTACGGCTTAAGGAAGCCTCAAATGACATAAAGCAAAATTTACAGATCTAAAGGGAGAATGAATATGGAATCATCATTGGAGATCTTAATACCCCTTCCTCAGTAACTGAGACATCTGTGGCAAGAGGCGATGGAGAAGCTCAATATCTTCAGCCAAAACAAGGCCATCTTCAGCCAAAACAAGGCCAGGAACTGACTGGGGAACAGACCATCAACTGCTCATATGCAAGTTCAGGCTGAGGCTGAAGACAATTAAAACAACTCCACAAGAGCCAAAATATGACTGTGATTATGTTCCTCCTGAATTTAGAGACCATCGAAAGAATAGGTTTGAGGCACTGCACACCAATGACCGAAAACCAGAGGAATTGTGGGGATGCCATCAAGAACATCATCCATGAAGAAAGCAAGAGATCATTAAAAAGACAGGAAAGGAAGAAAAGACCAAAATGGATGTCAGAAGAGACTCTGAAACTTGCCCTTAAACAGACAGTAGCTAAAGTGGATGGGAGAATTGACAGGATTAAAGAGCTGAACAGAAGATCTCAAAGAGCAGCTCAAGAAGACAAAGTCAATTATTATAATGAAATGTGCAAAGACCTGAAGTAGGAAAACTGGAAGGGAAAAACACACTCAGCATTTCTCAACTGAAAGAACTGAGGAAAAAATTTAAGCCTCGAGTTGCAATACTGAAAGATTCCATGGGCAATATGTTGAGTGATGCAGGAAACATCAGAAGAAGATGGATGGAATACAGAGTCATTGTACCAAAAAGAATTGATAGATGATTATCCATTTCAGGAGGTGGCATATGATCAAGAACGAATGATACTGAAGGAAGAAGTCAAAGCTGCACTGAAGGAACTGGCACAAAACAAGGCTCCAGGAATTGACAGAATACCCATTGAGATGTTTCAACAAACAAGATGCTGCACTGGAGGCACTATCTATCTATGCCAAGAGATGTGGAAGACAGCTACCTGGCCAACTGACTGCAAGAGATCCATATTTGTACCCACTCCAAGGAAAAGTGATGCCACAGAATGTGGAAATTATCGAACAATATCATTAATATCACATGCAAGTAAAATCTTACTGAAGATAATTAAAAAACGGTTGCAGTAGTATATTGACAGAGAACTTCCGGAAATGCAAGCTGGATTCAGAAGGGGATGTGGTATGAGAGACATCATAGATAATGTCAGATGGATTCTGGCTCAAAGCAAAGAATACCAGAAAGATGTTTACTTGTGTTTTATTGACTATGCAAAGGCATTTGATTGTGAGGATTACAACAAATTGTGGATAACACTGAGAGGAATGGGAATTCCAGAACACTTAATTGTACTCATGAGGAAGCTGTACAAAGACCAGGAGGCTGCTATTCAAACGGAACAAGGGGATACTGCATGGTTTAAAATCAGGAAGGGAGTGTGTCAGGGTTGTAACCTTTCACCATACTTGTTCAATCTGTATGCTAACCAAATAATACAAGAAGTTGGACTATATGAAGAAGAACGTGGCATCAGGATTGGGGGAAGGCTCATTAACAACCTGAGATATGCAGACAACACAACTTTGCTTGCTGAAAGTGAGGATGACTTAGAGCATTTACTAATGAAAATTAAAGACTATAGTCTGCTCTATGGATTACACCTCAATATAAAGAAAACAAAAATCCTCACAACTGGACCTATAAGCAGCATCATGATAAATGGAGAAAAAAGGCTCAAGTTGGCAAATACTTCATATCACTTGGTTCTACAATCAACGCCAATGGAAGCAGCAGTCAGGACCTCAGACGATGTATTGCATTGGTCAAATCTGTTGCAAAAGACCTCTTTCAAGTGCTGAAGAGCAGAGATGTCTCCTTGATGACTAAGATGTGCCTGACCCAAGCCATGGTTATTTTCAATCACCTCATAAGCATGTGACAGCTGGACAATGAATAAGAAAGACCAAAAAAGAGTTGATGCTTTTGAGTTGTGGTGGTGGCAAAGAATGCTGAAAATACTGTGGACTGCTAAAAGAACTAACAAATCTGTCCTGGAAGAACTGAAGGAAGAATGCTCCCAGGAAGCAGGAACGGCTACACTTTGTCTCACCTACTTGGTCATGTCAGATAGGACCATTCTCTGGAGAAGGATGTCATGCTTGGTAAAGTAGAGGGTCAATGAAAAAGGGCAAGGCCCTCAACAAGATGGAGTGACAGTGGCTGCAGTGATGGGCTCGAGTATAGTAGGGATCAAGTGGTTGGCACAGGACCAGGCAGTGTTTTATTCTGCTGTGCATAGGGTCGCTATGAGTCACAGACAACTTGACGGCACCTAACAACAACAGTAACTGAAAAAAGTAAAATAAAAACTAGACAAACAAAAATCAACAAAACTATATTTAAATAATACTATCAACCACTTAGGAGCTTATGGTTCAACTTTCAGCCAAACAGGCATAGAAGGTGAACAATAACACCAGGGAAGTATGCATTCCCTAGAATAATGAACAATACAAGATAAAAGGGCTGTATTTGCCTAGGGATAAAGCTCAGAAGGCAGGAGGGGACAGATAGGAAAGGAAGAGGAATGGAAACAGTAAACACAGGGAGGAAGTGGGAAGACTGCTGTCACATTGTGGGGATTGCAATCAATGTCATGAATCAAAATATTTAAGAATCATGGATTGGAAAATC